ACTGCAAAAAACCGCTCACGGATCTAAATTCTTGGTGTTCTTGACTTGTGAGCTTTGGATCCTGTGAAGATCGCCCTTTTGCCACTCGACCTGTGTCGAGGCCGTTGATGAAGGTTTCCATGCTAATCTTCATGCGGTAGCGGCCCTCAGTGGTCTTCTGGATGAGGATCTGTTTCCCCTTGAACGTTATGGGCTCGTCGACTTTCAAAGACTTCAAGTCGCCCGGTCTGGACCTGGGCGATGTCGTAGTCGGATCTGAACAAGCCCATATCATCAACGTAAACCAGGAGCATTGAGGTCGGTGACCCAGTGTGAGGATCTCGATGCACGAAGAGTTGGGGGTCAAAGCCATGACGTTCGTAGCATATGCTTTTGAGCCTGGTGCTCGTCCACAGATGCGGTGCATTGCTGAGGCCGTACACATTTCCCAGGATTTGGTATAGGTCGTGGGACCAGCGTGAGGTCTTGGAGATCAATCCATCTTTTGGCCCCCGCATGTAGAGTGGAAGGGGCCGCTCAAGGTCGCTCTGTCGGCCTTGAAGGAAAGCCGTGGCAGCATCTCCTGCCCAAGCGGACCAACGGAGAGCGGCGTCGAAGAGTTCTCCATTGAGCCCTGAGACAATCATCTGGTAGACGAGCATCTCCGTGGTTCGCCCTGGTGTTGGTGAGCTCCTTGAAAGCCTCTTCGCCCTGTCCGACATTCTTGTCCCTGTAACAGGCCCTGCTGCGCATCACGCGCTTGCTGAGAATCTTGTCATTCAGGACCTTCCGGCGTTCTTCTTTGGACAGGGGCTTCACGCTCTGCCACTCGGCCCAGCTGTTAGCCTCCTTCTCAATTGCCGCGAGACTTGTCGATGTACGCGGCTGGCATGGACAGGATGTGCCTCCAAGGAATTTCGCGGTCCAGCTGTTTTCTTTCTTGTCGGCTCACGCCCGTGCTGTGGTGCTGCTTCTGCTTGTTTGTGTAATGCTTGTTGTCTCCTGCAGGTGAAGTACTGTCTGAGTCGACAGTTGTGTCTGACTCCTGTGCCTGCTTGTCTGTGCCTTGTAGGTCTTGCTGCCGCTGATGTGTTGTGCTGTAAACCTTGAAGAAGGTCTTGTTCTTCGGTCCGTAAGACATTGGGGGTGAGCCATCCCAATGTCGCCCTGCCCGTGTGATGTTGCCGTTGGGCTCAAGGACCAATGTCATTGCTTCATATGGTCGTTTTTGTGGCAGTGTTGGAAGTGCTTCGTCGTCCATTGCTGCTGGTAGTGCCTGACATTGTTCTACTGGTGGTTCTGTAGATGCTCTTGCTTCTGCAGCGGCGGATGCTGAAGCCTCTGCAGCGGCGGTGTCTGCAGCTGCGGTGTCTGTTTGTTGTATGGTTCCTGCTGCTGGCGCGGTGTCTTCCCATACCTCGTCTTCTGGGACAGGGACGAGTTCTGCCGGAATGGGATCTGGTGGTTGTACTGCATCAGGTTCTCCTGCCAAAATGGTGGAGGGTGACACTGTGTGCGACTGTTCCTGCTCGCTTGGATGTTGTTCTTGTGCGCCGGTTTCGGCAGTGGCAGTGTTTGCCAAAGGTGCAGTGCTTGGGGCTGCTAGTTCAGCCTGTGATGCTCGGCTCGTTTTGAGTGAGGGTCATCAGTGGCAAGGTGTGGCCGTCTTGGCCTCGTGGTGCGAAGTGCTTTGGGAAGGTCCCCAAACCGTTGGTGCAAGGATTGGACAGCCGTGCTGTGTTGCACGTGTGTTGGGCTGTCGATGCGCACGTTAATGGTCGTGCTGCTGGTTGGTCTTGGCGTCCCGGGCGCTGCGGCTGCTGCCATTGCCATCGGTGTTGCTGGTGCTGCCAATTCAATGCTGGTGTCATTGGTGTTGGTGGTGGCTCCTGCTCGTATTCGAGCATGGGGCATCTTGGGTGGCTTCTTCATCAGCCGGACCGGGGCCGCGATCATCTTCTAGTAGATGCTCTTCGAACTTGTTGGATGCGTCTCTCAGTGCCTTGATGTCCTGTTCATCTGGGCACCAATCTTCAAAGGAGTGAGCTGCTCTCACCTGCTCTGCTGTTGCAAGGGTGGTAGTGGCACCGAGTCGGATCCATGCTTGTTGTCCTGGGTAGCTTGGATCCCAAGACAGAAATCTGGCAGTCAGCCAAGCACCTCTTTTGCGAAGTCCTCGTTTGTTCCACCTCCACACTGCACAGCGTTGTCCTGGTTGTAGGTCAGGAACTCGGGTATTGCGGGTTTTCCTCAGCAGTGCTCGTCTGAACTGTTGCTGTGCGTTGATGTCCAGAAGTGCTTTCATTGCCTCGGAGCGGACAAGTTCGGCTCGTAGTGCAGGAAGCTCTGGGTCTCTGTGTGGTTGAGTGGAGGTGCTCAACACTTGTCCATCAGTCAGGACGTCGTCTGGTAGACGTGGTAGGCGGCCGAACACGGCCTGATAAGCTGACCTGCCACGAGTGAAGGCAAGTGAGTTCATTGCATGACATGCCTGTATGAGGGTCACCGGGACTTCGGCCAAGGTCAAGGTGCTGAACTGGTCGATGAGTTTCTCTATGCTGATCCAAAGGAGTGCATTCCTCCTCTCAACCATCCCGATCAGGAAGCGGGATTCCGGTGGGCAATGTTCAACGATCACGCCCATGCTCATCAGCTGCTTCTCAAAGTTCCCCCTGAAGGGTCGCAGACAAACTTCAACGGCAATCCAAATGGTCGCAACCACATGTCTGTGAGCAGCTGGAAGGCGGTGTCGGCGTTGCGGTCGCTCATCAGTCCTGCCAAGTGAAATCCAGTTGCTCTGTCCACCACTCCGAGGACCGGGAATGAAGTGCCGTCTAACAATCTGCAATAGAACACGTCTGCTTGCAGTTCGTCTCCAAACTGGCCAGCGACCATGTGAGGCATCGAAGTCGGTCGCGGTTCTTGTGGTGAGCGAAGCCTCTTGCAGGTAGAGCATGAAAGGCCTTGAACTGCTTTGATGACAGGTCCTGGAACTTTGCCCTGATGTGCTAGCAGTCGTAATAGCTCCTGTCAACTAGGATGCCCAAGGTTGAGGTGTAGTCGTGCCACTGCCCTTCTCACATGCTGTTCGACATCAGTGGTGTTTGGAAAGCTGATGTCTGTGGTGAGGCCCGGAATGATTGGCCTGTCAGGATCCTCTATAGCTTCTCTTTCGGCTCAGTGGTCTGGAGGCGGTGCCCGTAAGCAAAGATTGCAATCTCAACCGCCTTGGAGAAGCGCATTCTGGGAAATTCCAGTTCGTCCAGGTCTTCTACTTCTACTGCCCGGGTCTTGTCGGCATACTGGAGGAATGCCGCTCTTATGTGAAGTACTCGTCGACGTCGTTTGGGATTCTCCTGGACGTAGGGGCATAGCAAGCTTGGATGCGAATGGCTTTGATTCTGAAGAGCTCCTGAACCTTCTTTCCCATGGCGGAGTCCAAGGGTATGTTGAAGGGTCTCTTGCCTCCTCGCTCATAGACATTGGAGACATAGCTATGTCGTCCCAACGGTCCAAGTCTGCGGTGGGATAGGCAGTGGCGTAGACCTGATGAAGTGGTAGTCCAAAACGATGAAGTTCCTTCTGAAAAACCAGTGCTCTGAGCTCCTGCAAGATGGTGTGACTCAGAGCTCTTCTGGGTACTCTTGCGACTTGCGGGTCATGGACCCTTGGATTGGCTTGCAGTACGTCTTCTGCAAGGGAGTCAATCTTCTGTTCAGGCTTTCATCCAAGCCTGGTTGATTGCCAATCCATCGCATCGGCTTGGCTATGGGCGTGCCCTCGATCTCAGCGCCGAAGGCTCCGCAGTCCAGAGTTGTGGACCACACACTGGGAAGTTCCATGAGCTCCACGATGACCTGAAGAATAGAAGCGATCGGAGAGGGTTCTCAATGAGAAAGTATCTTCCAGCCTTATACTGTTTCATGGCCACTGCTGCCGCGAACTCCACAAGGATGCGTTCTGACTCCTGCATGCAGGCGCTCCAACTCCTCTGGCCGAAAGAAGTAGTTGAGGTTGATGTTGAACTGGATCCACATGCGGCAGTCGACGCCCATCATAATCTCCCATGGCTGGAAGCGATCAATCTTGTTCATAATTAATGGCGGCCCTGATGGCCGGATCTTTGAAGTCCTGCCGAAGCAAAATGTCCATGGGTTGGAGACCGTTGAGATCGTAGTGGCTGGCCAAGCGAGTGAGGTTGCACGAACCTGCGAACAACTCCCAAAAGTCGACCTTGGGTGGTGGTCGATCCATAGCGCAGTGTCCGGTGATGTAGGTCTTGTACTCCAGCTCGAGGACGTTAGCTGCTTAAATTGGTTCCATTCTCCACGAAGTCGTTTGGCATACCCCGGTTTCATGGGTCGTAGACCATCTGGCCCTCGGTCTGGAGGTTGTCCGGGATGTCGTCCACGAAGCCCCAATCGATCTCGTCCTCCTCGGTTGTCTCCTTCAGCACTCCGAGCTCGGCCAGGCGCTCGTGTCGGCGTCGATCTGTCTGCTGCTGTCTCCATCTTCTTGCGCTGCTCCTTGAAGGACTCTTCGTTCAGGAAGGCGTACTCGGCCACCGTCGTCGGCTCCACGGTCAGAGGCGAGTCCTGCTCCAGGATGTTGAAGACCTCGCGCTGCTGGGCCTCCGTCAAGTGGTCCGTGTGGAGAGTGTAGCCGGCCCTGAAGTTCGTCCATCCACTGAACTGTGAATCCGTGGTCTCCATGTCCCGAATGCGGCGTTGCCTCAAGAGTGCTGCCGCTGTAGGTTTGGCTTTGGGCTTCGACTTCACCTTCGGAGAAAGGCCTTGTATTGCCTTCGATGACAGCTGAGGCAATGGCAATGGTGCTGAGGAGGAGCTTGGTGAGCCATCGCCTCGGGAATGCCAGATGTCCCAGTCGCCCTTTCTGATTCCATCTCCACTGCACCTGGCATAGCGACCGTGGGCATTCCCGTATCGCTTGATGTCCTCGTGGGGGCAGCGATCTGGGTCTTCCGGTGGGCTGAAGTGTGGAGGCACCGCTGCTTGAAGCCATTATTGATCCATCATCCCCAGCCGAACTGCCCTTGCCATGTAGATCCAGACGTTCCGCTTGAAGGCCTCAAGGCAAGACACATGCGCCTCCAGCGCACCAGCCATGGCGGTGGTGGTTGTCTCATCGAGGTGCGGTTCACGGGGCTTCGAATTGCAAGTCAGGACATTGGCCTTGTCCTTCATTGGCTTCGGCGGCACATGCAAAAGCTCAGGGTGTGGATCTTTCCACACAGATGGACAGGACAACTGCTTCCAAACATGTAGTTCATGAGGCCGTGAACATGACGCGTCAAAAATGTGCACTGCAAAATGACCGTTTCGAACATGAAGAGGAACTGAACAACCGATCTTCGTGAAGTGCACCGTACGGCTCGGCAAATCGATCACGGACCCGAGGGTGTCCAACAAGGTGTTGCCACCCAAGAGGGGAATATTCTCAGGGAGGATGCCCACGCCGATCAAGATGGGGATGTCCTTGAAGAAGACTGGGATGTAGGCCTGTATTGAACTTGTAGTGGGATCCCCTTTGCCAAACTGGTAGACGTCGTGAGTGGGCACCTCCTTGCACTTCATGAAGTGGTTCCCCAAAAACTTCTTGTGGAGGTCGTACCACTGCTGTCCACAACAGGTTCGCTGACATGCGGAATCGAGAACCATAAAACCCATCATGTCGCTCTCACGCTTCACCTCTGTGACCATGAACGGTGTGGTGACCATAAAGGTGGAGAACAAAGATCCAAACTCTTCAGGGGAGGTGATGTCGGTGGCTCCACGCTCATGGTGGACCATGCTGACCTGGTGAGTCTTTCCGCCCTTTTTCTCAGAAGCTGGTCCTGCCCGATACGTTGAAGAGGATCCTTTTGATCCCTTGCCAAAAGCTTTGCCACCCGAGCCAGGCTTCCCTTGGTTCATCGGGCACGAAGGGTCCTGATGCCAGTGTCCGAGGGCGCCGCAAGCAGCGCAATGCGTCACCTTTCTCAACTCATCGGGTGATTTCTTCTTCTTGCCACCCGCGCTGAACTTGCGGCCCAAAGTGGCGCCGCTGAGTTTTCGTGCCGTCACCGTGAGCACCTCGGCGAGAGCACCGAGGTCAACATCCTCAGATGGTTCTTCTGGTTCTTCTTCTTGGGGACGCTCATCTTCATCCATTTGGCCTGCATCGGCCTCTTCCAGGGCGTCGGCGAACTCCTCGGCCTCTTCGTCGATGGTCTCTTCTGCATGGGATCTCTGTGTGATGAAAGCCTGTCGTTTGCCCTTGCTGCCACCTTTGGTGGTGACCGAGGTATGTGAAGTTGAAGGTGTACTCGACGATGAGGACGTTGCGGTCCCCTTGCCCTTGCCCTTGGAAGGACCATCTTTTCCGACTACTGGTGGAGCCGGCCGAAACTCCGGCCATTGAAGCACCAGGCACTCAGCTATTGCCTCGAGGTCAAGGCTTTGTTGTGTGCCCACAAGGACCATCCGTTGGTCATGATGCGAAAGACCAGAACGGTCTAGGAGCCTGGAGCCCAAAGAGTCGGAATCAAACGTTCCTGCAATGTTCACTCCCACTGCAGTCAGGGAGCGTTGGGTCCTCCGAAAGCGCTGCACGTAGGCGCGCATGAACTCGTTGTGGTAGCGGCGGAAGCTCTCGAACTCATTGAGAAAACGACGTTTTTGGTAAATCAATCTCTGTTCGAATGGCTTCCTCAAGAGGCCCATGATGTGGTCCACGCCGCCATCCTTGTAGATGTCGGAGATGGCGACATGTTCGAGTTCTTGTTCCAGTTCCCCCCGGTGAGCCCGGAGTAGAGCATGAGAGCTTGGTCTTTGGGGCTCGCGTATTGTTCCATTTGCAAGCGCCAGATGTCGATCTTCTTGCTGAACTTTGCAAATGCCCGCGTGTCATTGACGTCATACTTCCAGACGGGGACAGCTGGGGGCCGTCCGCTCTTCCATTTAACCCCTGGCTGGGGCCCTTTCTTGGAATTCCATGAAGCTGCCGGCGATGAAGTCGACTCTCTCCTTGGGGCATGACTCTCAGGAGATATGCCTGACCTGGCTTTGACTTCTCAGGGCTGTCCGCTTGACCTGGTAGCTGAGGGGGTCGAGAACCTGCTTGGGACGCTTGTTGTAGAGGCGTGCCATCTCGTCGAGGTAGCCGTGGAGGTGAACCGGCAGGTAGGTTATGACCTCCTTGAGACGCAGGTTGAAGTGGAGACCCAACTTGTCGAGGTAGTTGAACAGGTGAACCTGCAGGTAGTCGAGGGCCTGGAAGGTGTCCACCTGGAGGCCTGGAGGGTCTCGGGGTCCTCAGGCTCGACCAGAGGGTCATTTGTAGGGTGTTCGGATTCTGCTCGTTCGAAGTCGCCGTCTAGGCTTGTCTCCGGTCCTTCAGCGGGAGGTCCAGCTGGAGTCTTCTTGCGCCTTCTGCGTCGCCTGACAGGAACAGGCTCTGTGGGAAGGCCCGGAACGTACATCCACGTTCCAGTGTCCGTCAGCCTCTTGGTAGGCCGGTCCTCCTGGTAGAACTCGGTGTGGTTGCAGGTCAAGCACTTCCAGCGTCCAGCGGTGATCTCTATGGCGGAGACGCCATCGCACCTCAGACACCGCCACTGGTAGGAGGTAGGCGAAGTCGGCAAGGGTGTAGTGGGCTCATCTACCTGGATCTGTCTCGCGGGCGGCTGCGACCAGTCGGAGTGTTCGGTCTCAGGGGGAAAGGAGTCATCGAAGAAGTCGAAAGCACTAAAGGGGTCGTCATCTCTCGACTCCTCATCAACCTGCGAGGCCGTGGCGATGCGGATAGGAATCGGCATCGCGAGCAGGGCGCACCGACCGCGAGGAACGGCTCCGGTGCCAACTTGACAACGTGGGTTCGCAGCCCACGGAACTCAGCTCTTTTCCATCAGCGAGCACGAGTGAAAGGATCAAAGGCTCAGGGATCCCTGGTTCGAACCCGAAAGGCCAACAGAACCGTCAAAGGGATTGCTCAAGATTTTCACAAACAAACTCTTTCTGTGGAAATCATTTTTGCAAAAAAACACAACAATGACAATGCGGCTTTGGTTGTTGAGTTTACTTGCCATTCATGATTTGAGCATTGGCCTGATCCGCAGCCATTTTTGACGTGCTTTGGGGACGCTTTGCTCATCGGTTTCAATTATGCTGAGGCCCTAGTTTTCTTTGCATAAATGCTTGTGGCAATGTGCGACCATATTTAAGGCTTGCTATTTGCTGTGGCATCCGCGGCTCAATGCTTGCCATTCACAGAGTTGTCTCCGAACTCTAAAATGGAAAAGGATTGGAGGTATGAGAAGGCTTGGAACTTTGTTTGCTACTAGTAACGCTCTTGCTACTAATAGCGATGGCCTCCAACCTAGTAGCATCCGAACGCTCCTAGTAGTAGAAGGAAAGAGTCGGTTTCTTCTTGGACCCCGCCAAGTCCTACAGAGATTTTTCGTGACGAGAAGGACGTGACTGGGAGACCTAAACATGTGAAACACATATAGGTTCGCTGGGATCGTTGGTGCTCGTTCCCATTTGGGGATGGATGTTTGGTTGGCGCCAAAAAGCATGCGAGGAGGGGTCTGAGAACACCGTCCTTGTTGTTGCTCTAGGCCGAGTGATGTCAATTAATCATCTCATCTAGTTAAAGATCTAGGAACCAAATAATCAGTGTGAGCTATCCTTGGGAAACTCTAAAAAAATAAGTTAGTCTAGTAGCTTACTCCCTAACTGAGAAGAATCCTACTTAATTAAGAAGGGCGGGGGGGAGCGGGCTTTTTAAGACCGCCTGCTCCTGTGGAGCAGTTTGCGAACAAACCTCCCTCAACCGGTGAAGCAGTGGGGCGGGTTTTCCAAAAAAGGCAGTTTCGTTACCTAATAGCTTCTTGTTATTACTAGTAAGGCACTTGTTACTAGTAGCGTGGCACTTGTTCCTAATAGCTTCTTGTTCCTAGTAGTAAGGCCAGGAGCCCCTAGTAGCGTCCATGCTCCTAGTAGCGATGCCCTTTGCTACTAGTGACGATGCCCACTCATTTTGTGGAGTCCAAGGTCTGTTGCTGACCCCGGCAAGACAAAGTACCGGCGAAGGATGTCTTCGACAAGTGCCCTGATGACAGTGTTCTACTTACTGTATATTTTCTAGACGTCTTGTCTCACTGCGGAATTCATGGCTGACATACACGGTTTGAAAGGCATGCGATTTGATATGCATGATTTGGCACTCATGGTCTGACCATTGAATGCATGATTTGCCATGCGTGTTCCTGCAGCCATTTGAGGGGAAGGGGTTGGCGTTGCTTGCAACACCATGGAGGCCATCACTAGTAGGTTAGAGGCCATCGCTCGTAGGATGGGGGCCATCTTAGGGTGGAGGCCATCGCTTCTAGGTAGTCATCAACAATGTTGCCATAAAGCAGCTTGCGACCTGTCCGGATTTGATGGATGTGTATGTGAAGCAGTGGTCGCGGTTTGACCTGAAGCACGCCATGTCCGGTTTCACTGTTGCTAGTAACAAGAAGCTACTAGGAACAAGTGCCTTACTAGTAGTAACAAGAAGCTTCTAGGTTGGAGGCCACTCGTAGGGTGGAGGCTGCTATGTTTAGAAGCTAGTAGTAGCTGGCATTACGTAATATCTGGCTCGGTTCGAGACCCAAAGGCATTGTGAAGGAATTTGATACTCTAATTTGATTTCAAATTTGTTACTAGTAGCGATGCACTTGTTACTAGTAGCTGTTTCTAATCCTAGTGCATTTCCTCCACCCTAGTTAGCGTCCTTGCTACTAGCAATGGCCTCCACCCTAGTGGTGGCATTTCCTGCGTGTTTGCTGGCGTCCAAACCCGTGACTTCTGCGTGATCCCTACTAAGGCGTGCATACTTTGACTTGCACCAACGCATACCACTCACTTGGATCCTCGCACTTTGACTTCGCAGTTTGGACTTGAACTAACGAATGTTGATACTGCGATTGATCGTACGATAGATGATACAAGGGAAACGTAGTCATACATCGCGTAGTCATTGATACTTGTCTCCCAATGTTATCCTAAATGTTTGTATGTTTGCCTACGGGAATGTTGATACTTCTATCCCCTTACGATTGATACTGCGCAGTCAAACTGACAATAGGGAGGTTGCATGACGTGGACATGTCCGTTTTTGCAAAGAGAAATGCCGCAGCAATCACACAAAGTTGAACACGAAGAAGAACTCAGGGATTTCAGAGCATTGGAAAATGCAAATGTGTCTGAGATGGCCTACAAAGCTGGTGTTCAATACTAGTGAAGTCACGCAAGGCTTTAAAGCGGCTTAGCTGAATTCTTCTCTGCGAATGGACTGATCCTTGAAACAGCTGAAGGTGTTTCACTGCCCCGAATTCAACTGTTGCTTCACTGTTGCTTCGCTGCTTTTTCTCTCTCTGTGTTCACTTCCCTCAGGTCATGACAGCAAGGCCAAGAAACCATAGAGCAGCACCGCAAAAACCACACCTTGCGCCACCGCCTTCGTCAGTCGGAAGCTAGCAATGGCCTCCAGCCTAATAGCATAATGTAGCGACCTTGTTCAATTTAAGTGAGGGAGAGGTAGCTAGTAGTAGCTAGGTAGCTACTAGTATGGACGCAGGATAACGCTCGCACTATTCATTTGGTTCCTAGACTTTTAGGGAACTTAACTATATTAATTCCCGTTCTTCTTTCTTTGCTTCTACTAGCGCTGGCCTCCAAGCTAATAGCATGTTTTAACTTGTTTGGTTTCCAAGTTCACAAATTCTCGCAGCTCACCTTGAATATGGGTGCAAGCAGTAAGGACGACCTCAAAGGTGCTTAACAGGATAGCGACATTACATGGTCGACAGCTCCTGAACTGGCAACTCAGCTTCCGGGCATTTCATAAATGGCCTTCAGCAAGAGCAAAACAAAATCGGCATATCAAAGCAACGTGCCAAAGTGCAAATCAAAGCAAGCCGGACCTTCAAGTGAGTTTCCCTGACAAAAATCACAAACGAATTTCAAACCGTTCCCCAAGGCTGAAGTCGCGCCTCGCACGCCGCTTCTATACAATCTACGGCAGCCTGGGTCGCCATTCCCGTCTCGCGTTAAAGATGTGGTTCTGAAATTGTGTTTTAAAACGCGACCCGATTTTTTGTTGTTTTAAGAACAATGTTCGCTACTAGGAACAAGTGCATCGCTACTAGTAACAAGTGCCACGCTAGTAGTAACAAGAAGCTACTAGGAACAAGTGCATCGCTACTAGTAACAAGTGCCACGCTAGTAGTAACATTTTTTTACAAAATCAAATCAAATCGCTGATGGCCGAACGCATGGTTTATGCACTCAAAGTAAATAGGTGCGTGTCTATGCACACATGTCAACAATGAAATCAGGTCAAAGAGAACGTACTTTTAATTGACACGAGGGAAGATACAGTTTTGGACGCGCAAGCGCATAAACCAAGCAAATATCCGCAAGGAAAAAGAACGGTGTTCAACCATACGCAAGGAATATACATGTGCCAGCTGATGACTTATACACGAACGATGCAAGAAACGCAGTGTCAAGAAAGCGTGTCGAAAACAGTTTTCCACCATACTTCAACAAACCAAGAACATGTCGAAACTCAATCAACACAATCGCACAGCTTATACAAAGAGTTACCCGGAACACTTAAGGAATGTTTGCCGATGGCTGAAAAAGTTCCAATGCCAGCGCTCCATGTCACAACATACTCGGCGCAAAAGGCACCAAAGGAGGTCAAGTGCCGTATAATGTATAACATGAACCCATCATTTTGGCATCGCTACTAGGAGCATGAGCGCTACGAACGGGGCTCCTGGCACTATGTGGAAGGACGATGCCAGGACGGGGGAATGGCCGTGAACTGTCGAGGCTTCAGAGATTCCGGTGGGCAGCTTGGTCCGGAAACTCCGTTCTCGGGACTTGTGACCATGTTTGGTGCCAAACTATCAAAGTGCTCGCTAGCCACATGGTGTTTGTTCGTTGCACATGAGATCTGTTCATCACTATTCGGTTGGAGGCCATCGTCAATTAAACGCCGTGTGGGACGACGCATGCATGGCAGGCGAAGGCCTGAAAACGCGATCTTGGTGCGACTCTAACACAGACCGAATGAGTTTGCACTGACAGAATTCGAGGCCAATTCGGAGAGAAGAGGAGAGAGATGGCGCGGCGAGAGGAGAGATTGGTTCACAAAGCGGCGACGGCTCGACTCACAGCTGACGCGTCAAGACATGGACGAGTGGAGTTCCAGCTTAAGGAACTCTTGTTGCATGTCGCGAAGCGAAAGCTGGCAGGGAAGAGGCGTTGAATGAGGGGGATCATTTGGAAAACCGAAGAGGACCAGAGTCGCCAGATAAGCGAACCAAATCAGTGCGTGAGATATCCTGCGTCGTACTAGAAGCGCATCCTACGTGGCTAATCAGCGAACTTCTCCCGTACAAGTAGGCCCCGACTTGGCAGGGCGACGGGCATGAACAGTGTCCAGACCAGAGAGTCTTGGCTAGAGGATTTACCGGAGATAGCTTGAGGATACATTTCTTGGTGCAATTTGAACAGACTTTGCATGAAGATTCCCGGAGAGCACAGGTGCCGATTGGAGTTAAGGGTGAATAGGAAGGTGCGGGAAGTGATCAAACATCAAACGTTATCTTTCTGTGAGTTGGTTCGTGGTGTCGTTCGTGTTTTGGACTTGGGTGTCACTGGAGGCCATCAGGAACATCAGGTCTGGAGTCTGGATCTCACATCCTGTGGGGTGGCTCGGCCTTAAATGGGGCTGCCTATGGCTGCCTCTTCTAGGGGC